AGCTGCATAGAACTCAGCTCGCGATCTTAACGACTGAGCTGCATAGAACTCAGCTCACGATCTTGACGACTGAGCTGCATAGAACTCAGCTCGCGATTTCGACCACTGAGCTGCATAGAACTCAGCTCGTCATGATTGCGACTGACCGTAGCAGCAAAACTCGATTCAACGGAGATGATGAACTAGGATTATCTCACAGTTTCAACTATTCTGTTGTAATGGAATGGCTGTCCAGCTACTTCTATAATTTTTCTATATCTATTTCAATATTTGTATATATTTATCTGCATTACGTACACGTGACTCCCTAAGTAGGAATATATAGTTTTTGTTGTGCATAACATTTTTTTTGCAACCAGCCGATGTCTTCACATGATTAATCGTGCAGTCTTTAATGTTATTTGAGACCTCAGAGCAAAAAGTTCTATTTTATTATACCACATGCTTCTTACTCGAAAAATATATTTAATTTTCGGTTTCCATTAAATTTTAAAGCTGACTACCAGAAAACTAGAAGTTGTTCTCGGATTACACGCATCATTTATCGCCGAGTATCATCATGGTGACTAAGGTCCGATGATTGCCCCGAGAGAGAGGCCCTCTGCTAATACCAGTAATGGCGCTTGGTCTCGCATGGTGCCTCTAAACCTCCACAAGAAAGGCCTTCGTTTTTCTTGCCTTGACGCTGGGAGCGGAGACAAAAGCGGCGCTATAGCCACAAATAAAAATAACACCAACGGTTGCCAGGCGCCCACATGACGTGGAATGTGACGGGAATCGAAAAAAATTGGGCTTTTTGTTTAGTATGCGGAGTTATGTAAGGGATTAATTTTTTTCTTATATATTTTTGTTAGTTTAAGCTATCCTAGAATATAAGTTGTAAGTTTCCTGTCGTGAAGTTTTCTTGGTTATAAATGCCATTCTGGCTATGATATTTTCTTCTGAGCCTCATGTCTAATTAAATTACTGTTTCTACATAGATTATCAGTATAGATTACAAATTAGATAGAGTGTGAAAACCTTCATATCTCCTTTGACGTTTATTTCTGAAGATTTATCTATGATTTTAAATGTAAGAATAGCGGGTTTAATATCTCATAGATTCCCAATCGGCAATTCTTCTATGAGTTAAACAATTGTTAGGCAAGTATTATTAGTTGGTTCAACATTTTACGATTTTAGAAAGAAGATTTGTGTTCATTCATCAAAAATTTCACAAAATCGTTTTGCATTAATTTTTCGAAAATATTTAATGCCAAGGAGCATAAAAAATTGTTGTAATCAAATCGTTTCACGAAGTTAGTTAATTATGCAATGCGCTACGAGTCAGAGGTCAGATTAATATGTATTTAAATATATTTTTTGAATTGATTACAGTGAAACTGAGAATTAATTCTAAGATATTTTTTCTAGTCAAGAAAAGTACAAGAATCGACGACAGGCCCATCAGCCTATTCTTTAATGCCGAAGACACTATACTATACAGTATACTACTATAATATACTATAACAGATCTCACACCGTAACCTTCGAATTGTTTTGGTGAATCTGTACATGTTACTTCAATAACTTTTTTACATCAAAGTTTCACTAATGGGCAAAAATTTTGCAGCACTTTAAACTGATTTTATCTTTTTAAGAGAATACCTCATATATTTATTGCTGACATCATCAAGAAAAGTTTTTAATTGTGCTGTGCACCCATCCCCCGTTTTAAAAGACTACCTATAAACAGAAATTGTGGAATCAAATGCAAATTATATTTATGAATTTCAGTTTGAGAATGATTTATCGTCTTAGCACATTAACTGCTGTGTATTCAGAAGAATATAATGAAATCCAACAAGGAGCGTTAATTTTTGTGATGATAATATATAGAGGATCACCATAAATGTAAACATTCATAAAATCTGATGGTGATTAACCATAAATCAATATATTTTTCAGTCCATGATGCAGCTAAATAGAAGTATATATGAACATATTTTTTATGAACATCATAAACCTCGCAGTTTCGCACGCTACACGGTTTTCACTGCTCTGAGATCTGGAATAGTCTTCGTTGAAAATTTCTTACACTTATCCGGTATTTTATGATCTTGCTTGATCCTTGGTAAACTCGCTAAATTTTCACGTATTTTTATGAATTTATTCATATTGTTCCTACCAGTAAGAGCTGTCTTATTACAATTATACTCTTTCATAACCTCTAAAAAGCGATATTTATTGCCAAAGAGATCTTTCAATTACAGATTGTGTGTCACCACATTAAAAAAATAGAAAATGTTAGGTTTTGGCGATTATACTTCTTAGATTTGAAGGTAGATAGAGAACCCCGAGTGGCAACGGAGTCCCGTCAGCTGCACCGTCCACCTGACAGGCCTTCGCGTAGCAACAAAAACATTGTTTTGATTAGCAGGGACCGGTGGCTATTTTATATAAAAGAAATGCTATCGTTTCTACTTCCTCGATCTGCTCAATCTTTAAGGGTGCGTAATCAGACTATATTTATGCGATGCATTGCCATTGGAAAAACAAGTGCCGGCCAAATTGCCAAGTATTTGCAACTGAAACATTTTACGACTAGACTAGCCTCATTTTATGAAATTCGCAGTAGCGCATTGTAATACATCATTATTATTATACATGATTTCAAGTTGTGTTTTCTTGCATTTTTAAGAATGTTCTAAAGTCGAAGTTGTGTTTTTACTGTTTTGCCCATGAAGTTTCTAGTTCAATTTGTTTCAATTTGTAGTTTAGGGAAGCAGCATCCAACAAGCATCTGCTGAAGCTGAATCCTTGAATTTCCAGGCATCATTTTTCAAAAATTTTGGGTTTAAATGATTGATTCACTCTCACAAATGATTATTGAAAATTACTGGCAAAACCATGCTGCTGAGTGAATGAACTTGCATAGTTACATCACAACATCAGTTTGGCACTTTGGCTTTCTTCCGCTGAGTCCTCTGCTCCTGCTCTACTCATGCATCTGGAAATGGAATATTGGACAAAATTTCCCTTAAGGCTTGAATTGTGGCTTAAATCAATAGTTTCATAGGTGATTTTCAAAATTCTTCAGTAAAAATAGAAATCAGGCATGGGCATTTTGGATCATTCAAAAATGACTTTAGTAGCTTTTCCTATTTTTGTGTTTTGATTCCTGCTGTTTCTTGGGCCTTGAAATTTCTCATGGAAGAGCAGGCAGCAGGTGTGTGCTGGTGTCACTGGACACTGGACAGTGGACACTGGTCACTGGTGTTGTGTGAAGTATATAAATATTCTTTCTAAGCTATGTCTACAGTCTAGGGCTTACATGTACTTGTGTTGTGCAGGCAGCAGGCAGTACTTTCTAAACTATGTCAAGGGGTTGACGAGGGCTTTCTTCTCATGGAGTAGGGCAGGCAGTAGGTGTGTACTGTGTAATGGTAATACTGTATATAAATCAACTTTCTATGCTATGACTAGGGCTTGCTTCTCATGAAGTAGTGCAGGCAGTAGGTGTGAAATATATAAATCTACTTTTTAAGCCATGTCTAAGGCTTATGACATTTACAGCAGTTTAGTAGGCTTAAAAAAAATTCTGCCTGTGTATTCCTGATTTTTGACTGAAAAATTAGGCAGAAGTTATGGCTACCCATGAATGCCCATAAATCTGGCTAATTTCACACATTCCTATGGCCTTTTCCTAAATTCAAAAGTGAAAATTGAAAAAATTTGTCTATTTTTACCTGCAGTTTTAAGAAACTTCTGCCCAATATTCCAATTTCCAAATTAGTATCTATTGAAATAAAAGATAATTCAAAAAACCAGCTTTTGAAGATTCTGGGGTTAAGGGGACTGACTTTTGCTTCTCCGTCTCCTTGGCTCATTTCGTAACTGCTGAAAAGGCACATCTAGCGCAAGAAACAGCATGTATGTGTGAGCTCTAGTTTTTGCATAAAGCAATTTCAAAAATAGGTATATAAAATGAACATTTATTAAAAATATGTGCAAAGATTTCTTTGAATTAAATCTGTATTTATAAATCATTACTCTAGTTGATTGCAAAGTGTTTGCACTTGTTTGAAAGCTACAAACAAGACATGTTCAACAAAGCAAATACAATGGGTGTACGGTACATCCCCGTACATGCAATAATTTTTGCCTAATGCAGTTTTGAACTTTTGCAAAGTGACCATTTTATAACAATATTTACTCATTTTCATTTTAAAATATTTACAGATCATTATATGCATTACAGTAATTGTAAAATATTTGCACTCTTTTGAAAGCTACAAATGGTGATATGGTGTGCATTCAAGAAAGCAAATACCACGGATGTACATGCTATAACTTTTGTATAATGCAGTTTTGAACTTTTAGCTTTATATTCTATTATTATTATACTACGGCACATATGCTTATTATAATGCAGTTCCCATTTATAGCTTATTATTCACGGTAAACTGGACAGGAATAAGTCTAAAGATGTATGCTGGTACCCTAATTGCAAATAATTGGCAATGGGGAAGCTTGGGCTACAATATCAAGAATTTTTTTTGGCCTATTCCTCTTTTTAGCATATGTTCTCATTTCTGGAAAAAAATTCACTATTGTGCTCGCCATGTCCAACTGTCTGTCCTTCCATGACCTCAAGTTTTCGTCTATGAGAAAATGCGCTGTCACTCACTGCAGTGAGTACTGAGTTATTTTTTCAATAAATTTGACTTTATTTGGTTCTCTTGAACAATTTGAATATCCAAAAAGGGCATCTTAAAATTTTATAACTCCTACTATACGGTATTCAAGCTACAGCAATAAGACATCATTCAATTTGTAGAGACCATACCTAGCAACTCTAGGAGCCCCTTATTTGGATTTGTGCATGGTTTGATTTATACATGGAGAGGAGGGGAAAACGTGCAAAAATGGAAAAATTCACATAAAAGAAAAACAATGGGGAAAATCGGGGCTCTAGAGCCGCTGGATAATTTTATTACTAATTAAAATAAATGTGTCTTGATATTGTAGCATGTGATTTGCAAAAGTTATAAACTTTTTAAAGTACCTCCCTTTTTGCCATTTACTATTAGTTTTACTTTTTTTATTTTTTTGGGGGGAAAAATCATACAAGAAAAATGTTCTTATTTTAAGGTTAATATATGTGTGTGAAATTTCAGAAAGATTGGTTGTGGTCTATAAATGTATATTTTTTTTTTTTGTGACCCAAGCCAGTCCCCTTAACACGTCGACTACGATTGCTTCATTTTGTTATATTATTTCATTTTTTGTACTTTTTTAAGCAGGGTTGCCAGACAGTCATTTTTTGCAGACAAATTAAGTGATTTAGTTTTTCTCAATTGTGTTGGCCAGCTAAAATTTATGATAGGGGTAGGTACTTCCTAATTAAATTTTAAATACTGCAAAAAGAAAATAAATGGAATTTTTATAGCGGAACCTACAAATAAACTAGTATACATTGAATTATTGTCCTTTTTTGTTTTCGGATTTGGCCGATTTTGGGCAACCTGAATTATGTATCACTACCTCCTGGAGAAATACATTTTGTGGTACGCATATGTACCAATACATAGTAAACGTGTTAAGCCAATAGCCACCTTAGGATTATCTTGCCTTGCCAAGTTCTTTTTTTTTCTGAAAATAACATCAAATTATTCATGAAACCTGGTAAAGGAAAAAATTATTATTATGCTATTTACTATCATCATTTACTTCTATTTTCTATTATTTTAACAAATTATTTGGTAAAATGGTATTGGTAAATTACCATTGCTATTTTATTTATTGCTAATTACCATTTGCTATTGCTATTTGCTATTTTTTTTATTGCTAATTACCATTGCCTATTTTATTTACTATTATTATATTATAGTAAATTACTTTATTATTTATAATTGAATAAATTAAATTGTGATTATTTAAATAAAAAAATTTTTTTTCAAATTGCTCTGTAGAAAATAAACTTGGATATGTTGATATAACCCAATATTCTTCTAAAGCTAGTTTTGGGGTGTATTTCATCTTGAAAGGGAGGTGGGAGAAAGCTAGGTATATTTTTTTTATATAGGAACCTGCTAACACTTAAAGTACTAAACTCTTAAGCAAGAATATTTTGGTGAATCTACCAGTTCTCCGATCTTGATTGACAAGACATCTCAAGTTTCCTTACTAAGGATTTTCATTAAATTTTTGCCAGTTAGTTGAAGATTTTGTTTATATTCAGCAAAGTTTGCATTTCCAGGTTGTTAGCCAGCCTGCAGCTTCAGGCTGGGCCATCCCAGAGTACAGCCGAAGATTTGCTTCTCACGAGGCAGATCTTGTGGTCATCGGGTCAGGGCCAGGTGGATATGTGGCTGCTATCAAAGCTGCTCAACTGGGCATGAAAGTGAGTGGTTTTCAATTATTATGTAGTAAATTTATGCTTTTTTAGAACCCTTGATTATCTTTTAATATATATGCCTAATACACTAGTATTAATATTTCTTACTGATATTTATTAATTTTAGTCAACTTCTATAGTGTAATCAATTATGAGCCATTCTCCATATGTTAGATGTGTTTTTCATGAAACTTTTGCTGAGTAAAGGCTAGGCTCCATGATTCCTATTTGATAATTTGTAATAAATTAATTCCTTTTTTACGCACTGCCCATCTACTTGACTACCGCACTTGACTGTGTTGGATGAATTGCCAGCAAACCTAAGTTATTATATTACAGTACCAGTTTACTGAACATGCAAAGAGAGAATTGTGCTGGTGAAGTTTTTTGCAAGTCAACACTGCTTGAACTGTTGAAGGTTGATTTTACTAAAAATAGGTCTCTGAGGCTGAAAATTTATTGCAAATTCATCATGATTCTCCTATGTTGAAGAATGGCCAAATATTATTGAAAACATAGCGGTATATGGCTATAATTACCAAAATTGTAATGAAAAATTAAAAATTGGGAGAGAAATGTTTAAAATTAAGATCAACCTATATCTAAAGTGCTGTAAAGTGAAAAATAATTGAAATGCTGTGTAATAGAAAGGCATGTTTTACATTTCTAAAAAATTTCATTTCTTTACAGACAGTATGCATAGAGAAGAATGCCACATATGGCGGCACCTGCCTCAATGTGGGCTGCATTCCTTCTAAAGCTCTCCTGAACAACTCACACTACTATCATATGGCCAAAAAGGATTTTGAAAACAGAGGCATTGAGGTATAATGTTGAACTCACCCGTCTGCAATAGTCTATTTTTGTTTAGGTTCTGTTGAAAATAACGCAGTAAATTCTGTGAAAACTCTGTATGAAACACTGGAAGTATGCCTCCAATTGTGTTTTCCACAAGTTGTAGTAGTTAATGTGAAGGTTAGTCTAATCTCTTTGGTCCTTCAAGTTTCACTAGGTTTGCCTGATATTGCTGATCTTAAATTTTTATTTGCCCTTCAATTATGAGAGATTTTCAACTTATCCATGCTGTGAAGGAATACATTTTCTCATTTGTTTGTTTACAGGTTGATAATGTTCGACTCAACCTTGGGAAACTAATGCAGTCCAAAGAGAAAGCTGTTACCGCTCTAACTGGGGGTATAGCTATGCTTTTTAAAAACAATAAAGTCACTGGCCTGAAAGTACGTATTCTACCTAGTTCATACGTTTTATTAAAAGGAATTGTAATGATTTTATGTCCCTTTTTAATATTTCCTGACTAAATTTCATATCAAACGACATTGTATATGTGTGATTTCTCTATTGACTTGGCCTGATTGTATATGTGTAAAGTATCTGCTTTGCTGTTGTTATTTCTTCATTATTCAGACAGAGCCTTAACATGTCTGCTGTGAAAATCTTGTATTTAAACTTCTCTAGAGCATGGCAAAGCTTTGGATAACAAAAACATTCACTATGTAGGTACTACCTACAAACATCTATAGAGGATGATGACTACCATTGCTATGCATGACATGGCCATAAATAATTACTGAAATATTTTCTAGGGTCATGGTAAGATAACGGGAGCAAATGAAGTGAGTGTCCTGGGGCCAGATGGCAGCACTACTGAGACGGTCAGCACCAAGAATATCCTCATTGCCACGGGATCTGAAGTCACGCCTTTCCCTGGTGGGTGTTTTTTAGATAACTTGATGGTTAGTTAAGTTGCACTTACATAAATAATAAATATTAATGAAAAATATTAGCTATCACCATTGCTTCTTGTTTCAAAGCTCTACTTTCCTTGATAATTAGCTTTTTGGGATCCAAAAGAGAAATGGCAATGACTTTTTCTTATCATTTTAACTTTTTTCTGACGTGTTATTAAGATTCGTTAGTTAAGAATATGAATTTTTGCCTGTAATGTTGTCTGCTACTGGAATATAATTTATAAATATTTACTCTCGTTTCAGGAATTGAAGTGGATGAAGAAGTAATCGTGTCATCTACTGGAGCATTAAAACTTGCCAAGGTTCCTGAGAAGATGGTTCTTATTGGAGCCGGTGTCATTGGACTGGAGTTGGTACGAAATTCTGGGGTTTATTTGTCATTTTAATATATATTGCATGTAATGTGAGTAAAGATACTTATTTTGAACTGTTTACCACTGTGATCATTAAATCTAACTACTTGCAATCTCATTTAATCTCACACCAGAAACCTTCTGTCACAGTGCAGGTTTCTGCATCAATCTACTGGCAAATGCTCTAACTGAATCTTGATACCATAAACACGCTTATTTTAATTATGAGATCTCTAAATTGACTTGGCCCACTTGTATGTGTAAAGTATGTGCCTTGCTATAGTTCCATTTGTATTATTCAGACTGGCAGCCTGAGCATGTTGAAATTTTCTTCGACATGATGTGTTTTCTTCCTGCAGAGTCCTAACTTGCGGTCACTGCGAAGGAGTTTACTTCTAACTGCTGGCAAACGCTTTCATTTAATCTTACTTTTAAAAAAATTCACTGTGTCGGTTTCTGCACCTGACTCCTTGCAAACGCTCTCATCGAATCTTAATACCAAAAATCTGCTTTCCCTCTTCAGAACTATGCTTCTAACAACTTGCTAACGCTCTCACTGAACCTTACCGCAGGGCTCAGTTTGGTCTCGCCTCGGGTCAGAAGTGACTGCAGTCGAGTTCTTGACGAGCATTGGAGGTGTTGGCATTGATGGCGAGATGACCAAGACGTTCCAGCGCATCTTGACCAAGCAAGGTTTGAAGTTCAAACTTGGCACCAAAGTCACCAGCGCTGTCAGGAATGGCGACACCGTCACTGTTTCTGTGGAGACTGTCAAGGATGGCAAGGTTTGGAGCATTTGTTTTTTCCTAGCTGGTTTAGCGGGAAATCCGGATAACTAAAATTTTTTGATCACTCATGAAATGTTTGTATTGGGTCTGAGCGGAATTTCTCACTATTTTTTTGACCAATTCTGTGTAAATTTTCCAGCCGTAACTGAGTCGACAGTATTATGTACTGGATACATGATGTTGAAATACTAACAAATAACCGAAGAAGAATGATTGTCTGCCGTTTTTCAGTTGCTGAATCATGTCTTTGAGGACGCGTTGGTTTATGGTTTGACCTAAGATTTATGGCACCATGAAAAAGCTGTGTTTTCTTGAATTAATTTGATGGTTTGGAATCTATATTAATATTTGAAAATACATTTTATTGATGGAACAGGAAAAGTTTTGCTACTTTTAATTGTTTATATGGCTGGGTTATTATACCGGTCTAGGATGCTTCAAGTCTTCTCTTTCTATAGAAAAAACATTCATGTGCACATAATTTTCACCCGTTTCTGTTGAGCCCTAATTTGGGCTTCAGGTTACCTGATCATTTTTGCCTTGATGTCGAATTAACTAAGAATTCGAAAGCAAATATAATGGCAGAAATTGTTTAGTTCTAAAAAAGAATTTTTAGAAAGTTGCTCCCTCATTTGTCCAAAATTCAACTCGTATTCGTTGAAGTTTGGATTACTAAATAGATTAATTATTTTACGTAACCTGGAATCCTTCATCATTAGTTCAATACTCAGGAATGAGCGTGTATTTAGTCCTTACAAATGAATAATTTTGTGTACTTTCACGTACTAAGGGTTCGCACACAGTGAAAGCAGGTTTGCCCGCGCGGGCAACCTGCTCCAACCTGCCACAAGAATGAACATAGGATAATAATGTTAAGTGTTCACAGTGAAAACCTGTACGAATAGGCTTCTGTATTCTATGGTTTCAGGCGCCAGCCTGAGCAGGTAACCAGCACGCTGGCAACCTGCTTTCACTGTGTGCGTACCCTAATGCATTTACCATGACAGAAGGAAGAGCTACAATGCGACGCGCTGCTGGTGTGCGTGGGGCGCCGCCCCTACACGACCAACCTCGGGCTGGAGGAGCTCGGCATCGAGCGGGACGACAAGGGGCGCATCCCTGTCAACTCCCGCTTCCAGTCCGTCGTCCCGAGGTGACCACAAATATTGCTCATCTACTTAACTACTTAGGTAGTACACACATCTACTTACGTATTACACACATCTATTTACGTTGTACACACATACAATTACGTATTACAGCCATCTACATACGTAGTACAGGCATCTACATACGTAGTACAGGCATCTACTTACGTAGTACAGATATTTACTTACGCGGTACAGGCATCTACATACGTAGTACAGGCATCTACATACGTAGTACAGGCATCTACATTGGTAGTACTGGCATCTACATACGTAGTACTGGCATCTACATACGTAGTACAGGCATCTACATACGAAGTACTGGCATCTACATACGAAGTACTGTCATCTACATACGTAGTACTGGCATCTACATACGCAGTACAGGCATCTACTTACGTAGTACCGGCATCTACTTACGTAGTACAGGCATCTACTTACGAAGTACTGGCATCTAAAGGACAAATTCTGGTAGTACTATTGTCGTTCTGCGGTAAAATCAACTCATGCTCATAAACATATTAATTTTAAATAATAGGAAAATTCTGTGCCTACTAAAGACTAGTATTTCTAATTTTTCTTGATGAGTTAATCATAGGTCAGTATAGGTATGTGTAGCTTGTTGTTAGTGTGACACGAAGAAAAATGTGTGCATGTGCAGTATTTACGCGATTGGTGACTGCATCCACGGTCCGATGCTGGCGCACAAGGCCGAGGATGAAGGCATCATCTGCGTGGAGGGCATCGCTGGCGGTGCCGTACACATCGACTACAACTGCGTGCCGTCCGTCGTCTACACGCATCCTGAAGTGGCCTGGGTCGGCAAGAATGAGGAAGATCTCAAGGCTGAGGTAATTTGTGTTCCCTTTGATGAAGCGATGCGTCGAAGCTCGTATCTCAAGGCTGAGGTAATTTGTGTTCACTTTAATGAATGTGTCGAGGCTCGTACCTCAAGGCTGAGGTAATTTGTGTTCACTTTAAATGAATGTGTATAAATGAATGTGTCGAGGCTCGTACCTCAAGGCTGAGGTAATTTGTGTTCACTTTAAATGAATGTCTAGAACCTTGTATCTCAAGGCATTGGGAATTTGCTAACTCGTTAACCATCGTCAGGACGCAAACTTTGACAGCGTTACAACCGCACCGAATGTATGTAGATATAAGGGAGAATAATTTTCACGAATCCTGCAAATCTTTATTAAACATTAGAACCTCTAATTCTAAACATTAGGAATTAAAATTTATTTCCTTGATTATCACTGAAGTAAGGTTTTTGTGTACCTCAGAACTCTGGTTCTGAAATTATATCTGAATGTGATTCGCATTTGTTTCCATCCTGGACTCGGGGAGTTTTTGGGAATTCTCGATTTGGACGATAGTCCCGTTCATCTCTCTGAGTGTACGCACAAAAGCCGGCGTCTGTTATGGCTATAACATGTAACTTTTTTTTCAATGTTATCTTCTTGCAGGGCGTGGAATATAAGGTAGGCAAGTTCCCGTTCGCTGCCAACTCTCGCGCCAAGACCAACGACGACACCGATGGTCTGGTGAAGGTCTTGGCAGACAAACACACTGACCGACTCTTGGGAGCCCATATCATCGGTTAGGGACCCTCAAGTGTTAATTTTACTGTCACTGCCTTATTCTATTTGCATTTCCTGTGAGATTTGAACTGTTCATTTGGCACCTTTTATTGCTTGACGAATTTGATCGGTTTGAATTAAGCTCGATACTCAAATTTTTATCGTTGTCACTGCCTTTATATCAATCAAGTTGCAGTGATATTTTTTCGTCTGGGATTTATTTAGTTGACGTGTCTGGTCTATCGATATTAAAGTAAAATTTATGTTACTTTGGTAAATGTAAAGTGTAGCAGTGATATTTCCTCTTGTCATGGATTATTTTTATTTTTTTTTTTTTTTTGCAAAGAGCAGTATACTGATAGTGAAGTAACTGAAAATAGAATATTATTGTAACCCAACATAGTATTGAGATAAATAAAGATATAATATAGAAATTACTGAAGATATACTGAAGTAACTGTAAGCTGTTCCTCCAAAGGTCCTGGTGCGGGCGAGCTGATCAATGAGGCGGCCCTTGCCATGGAGTACGGCGCCTCGTGTGAGGATATCGCTCGTGTCTGCCACGCTCACCCCACCTGCTCCGAGGCCTTCAGAGAGGCCAACCTAGCGGCCTTCTCTGGCAAGGCCATCAACTTCTCCTAAAGACCTTCGACGTAATCTGAGAGACATCAACTTCTCCTGGGAGACATCACATTTTCCTGCGGGCATTCAATTCTCCTCATGGCGATAAATTATTCCTGATGGCCTCAATATTTCCTCAGGACCATCTACTTCTTCATGAGGGCCTTCAAAGTTTCATGCCAATCAACAACTTCTGGGTGCCGCAAGTTTCCAGTCCTGACTTCCATGCCACAAAATTGTACTCAAAAAACCACGGGACTCGGCGCGATCATTAATCCGCATCTTCAGAGCTGACGGCAAGAAATTGGTATTTTGGAGAACCCTTACGAATTTGGCAATCTTTCGTTCGTGATACCAAAACTCTGGCATGTCTTTCGATTTCTCTATTGGCACTAAATTCCCTGTTTGACTATGACCATCTATTAATAAGACAGCCTCAAAATCTATGTGATCAGTTTATCGCTAGAAGTTGAAACGCCCATATTCTGAGGGAATATTGTGAGAAAATGTAGTTTCATCTTTCTTCTTATTGGATCAAGATACAAACACACCTCACCGAACTCATAGCTATTCATGGGTTCAAATTCACCTGGTTTTATCTCTGTTCAGCTATGAATTAAGAAGTGTGCGGTTCCTGAAGCAGTTTGCAGGGTATAAGTGATATTAAGTCACTATTGATGTTCCCTGTAGGAGATTTGGAAGTGAATTCGGCGTGTAAATATTACAGTTTTTACTCTTATTAGAGCTAGGCGGATTACATTGTATTTATTACTTATATTAAAATTTTGGTATGTTCTCGTAATGCCAATGAAAGAGAAATTGTTTCATGTAGTTTCTCAAATATATCCATTCTGATTTTCTAGGACAATTCTTGTTTTTTTTCAAAAACATGAGCGAATGGCGCATCAATATCACAACGTAATATTCAGTATCAACTTCTCAAACTTTATCCATCTAGAATGTAATAAGCTCATTTATATTCTTGGCCATTGAAGTCACTCGGAATTACTATAACTTTATGTTCAGATTTTATCTTGCTGAAGACGAATAGACATTGTTACGTAACCGGTTTTGGAAAGAGCGGATGCAAAAAAAGAATTGTTTGCAACGTAAACTTGAGTTTTTAAGTGAAATTAAATTTCGTCTCATCGAGTGACATCAGAATTTATCAGCCGCAGACGAATATCCAGGACTCGACAGCTCACTTTCCGACGTAGGGCGATAGGCTTGCCGCCTTTTCCGCACATCGATGAAAGTGAAAGTTTCGGCAAGGATTACGATTTTATCGTTTCTTTTTCTGCTTCGAAGTGTGTGTTTTTTTAACGTTCTTTCTGACTACATGTGTTTTGGTTTTTCTTGATTATTTTCACGGTTACATCTGCGTGTTGATTAATTTAGCAAGTGTGGTTTAATAACTACAACAAANGACGAAGCAGTTAGATAGCAATCTGTGTAAAGTAAATACTTTACGTTCGTGTTTTGTTTTCATATACCCAAGCATCAAACCTACCGTCGATGAAGCCTCTTTCAACTTCCTGTACGCGTTCCGTTCTGCTTCCAGTCGTACGCAGACCATCTTTGTCATCATGGCTGTAGTCTATAGAAATCTTGCGAGCTGACTTTCCCTTCGTAATCACTCGGAAATGCAACGGTTAATCTTCATTCACACGGCGATCATGCCAATGGAAGCTGACTACTGTCTAAAGATGCGTTTGTTTCGTTAGAAGTGTGAATTTTTCACCAATTCCTTATTGTATGTGCTCCCAGAATGTTCTAGAAAATAACGTAACACATGCATGTAGTCCAAGTCAAACTAAATTCGTCGGTTCATCGTATGTAAAGTTAACATGTTAGTTCGGGTACCTGAATCAATTTTGAGCATAATTCTTGTGTATGAATATTTTAAAAGGATTACTGTTAAATAAATATAAAAGTTTCATCGATTTTATTCAACGCAAAATAATTCAGAAATTTAAACAACAACTTTGTATTTTTTGTTCAATCAAAACGCGATAGTTATACGGGTATTAATATGAGAAGAAATAGGTCAAAAATTCACAGAGTCCTACGCAATCCTCGACAATTTTGTGTACATTTTTAATGGATATTCATTTCCAATGTTCGAACTATTTACGCAGAGTTTATCTTTTATTAACTTCATACTGTATTTCCAAATAAAATTGCACTCAGTAGCGTCAATGTCCTCGGGTCGCAGCAGCAGTTAAATCGAATATAATTAAACTATGTCTTGTAAAAAAAATTAACAGCAACTTTCTGCATGACCAAAGCAGCTTCGTAGCCATTATGTGATAATCGAACTCTACAAAACGTAGTTTAGACCAGTATTATGCGCTTTTGTTAATAAACGAGCGTGTTTATTGCATTAGCTGCCAAGTGGCGACTCCTGTGACGTGATTTGTTGACGGTGGACACTAAGCCTGCTAGTCCTAGTGTATAGCCACAATCTTTCGTCATGTCTGTGCGCTCGTTAGTGATCATAAGTGCCATAAACAAGTTAACATTGCTTATATTCTGTGCCATTAAGCGTGTTTCATGATGATCAGTGTTTGAATTATGTTGCATCAACTATTTGTCATTCGATATTGGTTTAAAATGGATCCAATTACCAGGTGGGCACCGTGGGCTAGTAAAAGTCTAAAAAGAAGGTTCAAGAACGATACTGTTACGATTTATTACTTGGACAGAGCACATTAGGTGTTCTTCTGTTAATCTTATACTGGGAGCTTGGTAAACGATTCCAGGTCCAGCCTTATCTAGATACAGTCTACACAGAATTAGTGAAATTTTAACTGAATTGTTAAGTATGGTTGAACACGTTCTTCATTGGTAATCATTGCTGGCGTATGTATACATGTAACAAAATTTACCTCTGCAATTTCGTTAGTTCAACTTGTTTCGAATAAAGCTAGTAATCTATATAAAAATTAGCCACATTTCTTAAGTAATATAGACAGCTTTTAGTTAGAATAACGGCAGTGTACTCTTAAGAACAAAAGAAGGCGGAGGTTCGCCCAGAAACTTAGAATTTCTAATAGCTAAATCAGCTATACAGCTAAATATTCCCAACCTCTTTCGACCACCGGGCACCGGGCGACATTTTGCTTGCTACCGTTGCAACACGTGGCTGCTATATAGGTAGTCTAATAAATTCATTTCAGCTGCATAGTCCCATATTATTATCATACTTTTGGTGACACCGTACAAGGAACTGTACTATCGAAAATAGTTAAGGGTTCGTAAATCCGTCAGCCAATCACTGATTGCTCTCCTACCTAAACCCACCAATCTCAGACGAGAAGTCGATCGTTACGTGTACTTGAGTTGACATGTGCACTGAGGTCTCTACTAGTACATAGGCCGCGAGTTTTTATAGTACGGTGCCAGGAATACGAGATTTTCAATAATAGTAACTGTTGCCCGGGGGGCGAAAAGGTTGAGAAACTCTACGGTAGAAATTGCATTCTCTAAAATTTGTAAAAATTCTTATGAAACTCTTCAACAATATCAAAAGAAGTATTCTTACACACTCTGCCTTATGATAAACTATTCAATAACGCTTATGAAATAAAAAGTTATAAACTAGACTATGAAGATAGGGGCTATTCATTACGATGACCTGCAATGTCAATGTCAGGCGAAGCTTTTATAATTTTTAAGCCGGGCATACCTACTTGAATTATAAATTCTGGGGATGAAATTCATGTTATACCTAAATCCTACTTATCCGAAGCAATGTCGTGCATTGAATGCAATCAAGCAAAATATAATTTTAGGCAGACGTAATATTTTTGTAGCTTTTTTCGACAATTCCGGAAACCACTTTCTGTGAGATATCCCTTTGGTAGCTTTGAACTTTAATTTGCATAAGGCGTTAATTTGCATGATTTACACTTAACTGTTAATTCAAAGCATGCTATGTATTTAATTCTAAAGATTCTATTAAAAAGACACCTCGATTTTGGTTAAGAACTAACATGTCTGAAAGCAATTATTGATAATTTAGAGATCTTCGATTGCTTCGTTGAAACAATATTATTGATTTATTGCACCTCTCTAAACAAGTCAAAGTTATCTGGAAGTGATAGATACAAATTCAGAGCATTAATACTATTCATTAAATTGTAAAGGACGAACAAATTAATTTCAGAAAAAAAGAGTCTCTTAATGTATTAAAACCTGCACTTGGAAAAACGAAGGGGCTACATTGCACTGCCAAACCAGGTCAGGATGACTCACAAAGGGGCAAAAAGTGCATTGATATTTAGACAATGTCTCGCTCAAATCTCTGCGTGCATGGAGCCCCAAGTCGAACTTTGAAATCTTGCGTCAACCCATATTTAAAACCTATTTTTTATTATTTTTTCTTCTCAACGCTAAACTTCCCGCAATCTTATAATAATAAAATCCCTTGACAAAAACATTGAGAAAGTTAAAGGGTTGTTGATGAATTCTTTGCTCCGGCATTTCAATGCATGTTCAAATACACCAAAGCTAATTTCAAGGATTTAGTTATCAAAATATTTTATAAAGATTTAAATATCAAAGCATTTAAATATCAAAGGATTTAAATATCAACCGTTTTATTGGTCTGATAAACAAGCACTAAAATCAGAAGTGCGACCGTCTTAACAACATGATTCAGAAACCTAACTGTGAATACAGATAAAAGAAGTGCTCCTATATACCATTAATCTTCACTTGACTGCAACATGGCAAGGTATGTTTTTCGATGATGACCAGTAAAGTTAAGCCGACAAGTTTGCGTGTACATATTTGTTCCACTATGAGTAAAGTTCTATGCAGTACCTGTCACTACTAGAACTGGGGAGTTTAAAATTGGAAAGGTTCACGGCAGGTTTGAAATTTGTAAAAAGGTTTTTTGCCTAATTTTTTATCAAGGTTCACGGCAGTATTTAAAATTAGACGTCGTTCTATTTCCCCCAATATTTTATCAAGGTTCTGGGCAGTACTTGTCACTTCTAGAACTGGGGAATATAAAATTAGACGGCGTTCATATTTCCTGTAGGGTTCATTTCGAAAAAGAGGAAGGCTTGGGTCCATTACTGATTGTTGTTCCTTCTTATCTGCTATCGAATGCTAACACCGAAATCAATATTGCACTGCATGTCTTGTTGGTATCGCCGCGCTTGTTCGATGTTCATCGTTTATGGTTTCCGTAGTTACCTCTTGATTATTTAACACTCAGAAATATGATTGGGTCATAATGTCCTAATAGTGACGCTCTTTCTTATCCACCGCACGAGCAGATAGCGGACCTAGCACCGATACGCATTGTGCCGATCCAAACAAGGTTAGAGTGATCTACAAAAAGTGCGTCGCTATTTGGACAAAGTCCCACTCATTTCTCTGAGTGTCAACGTTATTTCTCTCTCCCATTTGTGTTTCTCTCCCATTATTTCACACAGAGAAATAATGGGCACACCGAAGTCCCAGGCCGTGAAGAAGACAATCAGCGAGCTGATCAGGGTCAATATCACCAGCACGATCTCCACGTAAATCCAAATCCTGATCAGGTTTGGCCGTTCCTGGAAATCGAGGAATAAAGTTATAGTCTTTTTTAATTTTAATAAAATAATAATAATAAATAAGTTATAGTTGTCACGATCTCCACGTAAATCCAAATCCTGATCAGGTTTGGTTGTTCCTGAAAATCAAGGAATAAAGTTATAGTCTTTTTTAATTGTAAGAAAATAATAAAATAAAAATAATAATAAATAAGTTATAGTTGTATGAATCCTGATCAGGTTTGGTCGTTCCTGAAAATCAAGGAATAAGGTTATAGTTTATTTTAATCCTGATCAGGTTTGGTCGTTCCTGAAAATCAAGGAATAATGAGTTGCGAATTTGAGACCGCAAAGTACTGTGAATGTTCTGCGATGTTAAGTTATAGTCTTTTTTAATTTTAACAAAATAATAGATTAAAAATAATAAATAAGTTATAGTTGTATGAATTTAAGAGGTGGGGGTTGAGTCGATTATACCGTTGTGTTCTTCAAAAATCTGCGGTCATTATTATTATTAATAATATAATTATTAATAATTATTATTATTAATAATAATGACATAATTATTATTACGATAATTATTGATTATTGCGACGCAATAATTATTATTGCGTCGATTATTTTCAGCGTTGTTGCGCCCATCACCTCTCGTTGACACTCCAATTACATTCGCTCCTGACATTACAATTAACATGAATTTCTCTCGTGAAGTACGACTTTTACTAAATAAACATTTCATAATCCCTCCAGAAAATAGAAACACAAACATTTCTTGTAAAGACGTTTGCTCCATCTTTTTTAGCAAATTTGTCTAAATGAAAAGCTTTCTTCTAGGTATATGACATTATCTAGGTTTCTTTCATCTAGGTATATATTACAATTACATACATTATAAATGCTTTGCAATAACACTAGATCAATGCAATCGTTCACCCATAATAATTATTAAATTTTAATGTAATATTAAAATAAATAAAAATATTTATCAGCTACAATGTCTATCAACGCAATGCTATAACAAGAAACCAATGCAATATGTTTACACTTGCTAATTATTAAATGTCAGTTTCATATTAAAATAAATAAAATATTTATCAGCTACATTGTCTATCAACGCATTGCAACAACACAAGACCAATGCTATCGTTCACCCATAATAATTATTAAAAGTCAGTTTCATATTAAAATAAATAAAATATTCATCATCTTACCTTCTTAACTCCAACCAACAGAAGAATTGCTATTATGAGCACCACGACGCTGACTATGATGTTGAACCAGCTGCTCTGCGCTCCTGTTGGGTGTAGAGTTATAGTTTAATCTCATATGTATCAATATTAATTATCTAGGTTGTTTGTACTCATATTTTCAAGATTAATTAATTTGTTATGGAGCTGGTATACTATCTAGCTGGTGTCTACTATACTATCTATACTATACTCGGTATACTATCTATCTATCTACCTCATTACTATCAATATGAATTATCTATGTTATTTTTACATTTATTTTCAAGATTAATTAATTTGTTATGGAGCTGATCTCGGAAACGTTTCCGTTGCAAATATGTTGAGTTTACTTGGCGTTTTCTTTGCTTTGGATTTTCGGTATACTATCTATCTATCTATCTATCTACCTCATTACTATCAATATGAATTATCTGTGGTTTGTACTCTTATTTTCAAGATTAATTAATTTGTTATGGGGCTGGTCTCCGAAACGTTTCTGTTGCAAATATGTTGAGTTTATTTGGCGTTTTCTTTGCTTTAAATTCTCGGTATACAGAAAAATAGCAACAGTTTCTATTTCTGATAACATTGCACTTAATTAACCCATATTTTGAAAAAGGTCTAGTGAGACCTTTAAATAGTAGTTAGACATGCACTTTTAGATTTAATATGTTACGATTTTTATATTAATTAAAAACAACACAAAAAATTTACGTATAAGCCTTTAAATATCATGTGAGCGAGTCACGAAAATAACAAGAATCGGCGACCCGCCAAACTTTACCTGCTATACTATACTATACTATAGTATATATACTATACTATACTATAGTATGTATACTATACTATACTATACTATACTATACTATAGTATATATACCATGCAATACTATCCTAAACAAGCTTCCCGGTCAGACGTAGAACACATTTAGAATAGAGTTCAAACTGATCGCCCGAGTTTATCGAGATGCTTGTCTGATATAGCCTTTCCCCTTTTTCATTAAAAGACTTGTGTAGATTAATGTCGTTGAGTATTTTTTGTTTATATGCAAATTTGCTCAACTATAATCAATATACTCACTTTCAGAGACCAGGGCATGCACGTTGACGATGACGTTCAGTATAGCTGACACCTGCGCAAAAGGTAAAATTAAATGATATGATATGTGTATTATCTGAATTCGATTCACTTTTGGCCGACCATCGAGTGATTGTTTACTTAGAATAGACATTATAATTTATTGTAGAGACTAAATTTTATGTACGATGCAATTTTTGTAATGTTGAATGCGCTGCAATTTGCTAATTTTACCTACACTACAATTGTGAGTGATAAATACGCTGCGATTTACTAATTTTACATAAGCTCCAATTTGGTATTTTTAAAATGCTCTGCAATTTGATATTTTCAGATACGATGTAATTTGCTAATTTTCGATACGATGCAATTTGGTCATCTAGTACGCTACGGAAATCGATTTCATTTAAGCCCCAAAAAAGTAAAAATGCACAAGAGGAAAATCGATAATGTCCAATTGATTTGCCTTTATCGCGTGTATTGTTTTGTTCAATACTTCGTATATAATATAATTCCAAATAACTCAAAGAGGTCTAGATAGGCTCACTTTTTATGGTATAAATGTGCATGTCTATTTCCTCGAAATATCTTATTTACAATTGCACCACTTTCAACAAATCTTCATCGAATGCTACGAAATCCACCATAAAAATTTTACGAAGCATTTACTTCGAGAGAAATTTACTATCAAGTGCCAGCCAGAAACTGGCTGCCGAGATTCACAATTGTTCATGGGTACAGAACCAGCGTTGCAGCTCACAGCTGTGTCCACGGCCGACCCAGCTGTACTTTGACAAACAGTCTCAGTGACTTCGCACACTCATCTCTCTGGGAGAGTCAGACTTTGTCTAAATATCGATGCAATTTTGGCTCTTGTGTGGGTGGTCCTCACCCATTTTTACTCGGTAAAGAGAGTGTCCAAGCTATGTGTAAAAATTGGGTCACAATTTCGACCATATGACCCATTAATTTTTCTGAGAGTTCTCTTTGCAAGAACGGCAACCTATGGAACGGTAGCTTCAGCCTTGTTCGCGTTATGAATCAGCTACTGAATTATTTCATTGTACGCAAAATATATAAGTTTAATCGACATAGAAGGTTAGATTTCATGATTGAAGTTCGATTTTATTATTGAAGGTTCGATTCCTGGATTGAACGAAAGCGAACTGAATAATTGAAGGTAACGAAAATTTCCATAGCTCAACAACAGATAGAAACTCGACGATTAAGCCGCACCCCTCCTTTCAAATGACATTGAATAAAAACGAAGATCACAATTTGTTTGAAATGAGAAGAAAGTTTTATGTGGTGCTACATACGATGCCTGGTGGGACTGTAAAGACTTACAGTAGGCAACCTGCGTGGCTGGATGCCAGGGGCCATACTATCAAAAATAGTTAAGAGTTCAAAGCTCTGCCAGCCAATTATAGACAACTTCAAATTGGGCGCTACGTCTACTTAGGCCGCCACGTGTACTTAGGTCGCTACGTGTACTTAGGCCGCTACGTGTACTTAGGCCGCTACGTGTACTTAGGCCGCTACATTCCATAGCTCAACAACAGATAGAAACTCGACTAAGATTAAATGACACCCCTCCATTCAAATGGCATTGAATATAAACGATGATAACAATTTGTTTAAAATGAAGAGAAAATTTAATGTGGTGCAACATATGATGCCTGGTGGGACTGGGAAAACTTGGACAGCTGGCAGCCTGCGTGGCTGGATGCCAGGGGCCATACTATTAAAAATAGTTGAGAGTTCAAAGCTCTGCCAGCCAATTATAGACAACTTTAAATTGGGCGCTACGTGTACTTCGCCCGCTATGTATGTCAACTTAGGCCGCTACGTCTACTTAGGCTGCTACGTCTACTTAGGCTGCTACGTCTACTTGGGCCGCACGTTTACTTGGGCCGCTATTTTTATTTAGGCCGTTACGTCTATTTAAACACAGCAGAGTACACACACACGCCACACAGCAGAGTACACACACACGCCACACAGCAGTTAAGCCGTTACGTGTACTTAGACCGCTACGTGTACTCAGACCGCTACGTGTACTCAGGCCGCTGCGTGTACTCAGGCCGCTACGTGTACTATAGGCCGCTACGTGCACTTAGGATGCCACATGTACTTACCAAGCAGAAGATGGCTGTCGCCAAGGCCCCTGTGCGGAGCGTGCAGCCACAGCAGCACTGCGACACTACGCATTTCTCTGCCATCTGTAGGGAAATAAAACATTATTTTATCTACTACTGTGATTTAAATTTAACTGCACAGTCTATGTTGAAAAACCAGCGTTTGTGCGTGAGTGAAATGCTTGCATGTAATAGCGCTTGCATTGGTTCAAAAATGAACATCCGAATGATGTCTTGCTGAAGTGAGCCATATGGAGTCCCCGATATTCCAATTATAAGTGTGAACGTTTCGTTTAAATCTGGTCGTTCAAACTTGCATGTTTTAAGCATATGCCCTTCTTGACGTTAAATTTCATTTGTTCAAAAATTAGCTGTTCAAACTTGCGCACTTCAAACTTGCACGATTAAACCTAAATACACCAGAGTCGCTATGTGACTCGTGCGTGGGCGTTGTAGAAGCGCGTTGGCCAACACAGTTGGCCCTTAGCTGCACCTACACCAACTCGGTCGGCTATGATGTCATGAGTATCATCACCAACACCGGTCGGCATCACCAACACCACCAACCTGAGTGATGTCATCACCAATTCTGAAGGATCTGCCATCCCAACTTGTGTTAGGAAGAAGTCTGCATGTCTGCATCCTCATGTACGCCCCTTCAAGAACAGACTAGACGAAGCTATGCAGGAGCATATGTTCAGTCTGAAAATGCCTAGCAAATTACGGACCAGGCAATAAGTCCAGACGAAGCTATGCAGGAGCATATGTTCAGTCTTAAAATGCCTAGCAAATTACGGACCAGGCAATAAGTCCAGCAGCTATCTCAATCAATCGTCAGTTATGGAAAGATCGCATTCCAAATGCCAGATCCTTTGTGAATCAGGTCACGAAAAATTCAAGAATCGGCAACAGGCCATGGGCCTATTTCTTCAGTGCCGACACTTCTATTATATTCTATGAACAAGAATCGGCAACAGGCCATGGGCCTATTTCTTCAGTGCCGACACTTCTATTCTATTCTATTCCATTCTATTCTATTCCATTCTATTCTATTCTATTCTATTCTATTCTATTCTAACAAGTCTGCTTGTCTGCATCTCGCACGCAAGTGCCATGCGACCGGCAGTGCCTCAAGCAATAGTTCTAGAATGTCAAATTTTTTTATTCAACAAATTGAGATTCAAATTCAACAAAGGAATAAATTCAGCGAAGGAAATTCGCTTTCAAAACAACGCGCACAGGAGTCGGAAGAACGGCAGTAGCTCATGTATATTCACGTAATGTAAGTTTGAACACAACTCGTTGTAGAAATTCAATGAAGGAACGTCATTTGCTATATGAAAACAATATTGATATTTCTTCCAGTGTATAAATCCTCGCATTGCAATGCCCTTATTGTAGCTTATGGTAGGAAAAAACTCGCCATCATATCGACTCTTTGGCAGGATTGAACGTGATTCTTTCACAAAAATGTAATAGCATTGAAAATGCCAAGTAAATTAGCCATGTCGTCAATGAGAAAATATTTCGGCTTTTAAATTTAGGGTGAACTAGCAATTAAAGACTAGTAATTTACGTGATTTTTTTAGATCAGGCAGGATGTTTTCTTCAGTCGACTGGTGTAATATTGTTTTATTAATTAACTATCAATTAACTATTAATACTGGAGGGAGAAAATCACGGATATTATGCAAGGCTATTAATATTCTCACAAAAACAAAGCACGAAGAGACCAAAGAGTCGATGAAATTTGTAGTAAAAAAGGCTTCCAAGAAAGTGAACTATAGCCAGAATTATAATTTGCAATAAATAAAAAAGATAATAATATGGTCTCGAGTAGCATGGTACAGCGACGTTGTGCTAGAAGATAACCTTGAGCCCAAGGATGAGAGGACTGGGCGAGATGTTAGCGCCACCAGCTCTGGTATTCCTCTGGTGCGAGGTATGCTCCTTGTGGTGGTATTCCTCTGGTGCGAGGTATGATTCTTGTGGTGGTATTCCTCTGATGGCATTCCTCTGGTGCGAGGTATGCTTCTTGTGGTGGTATTCCTCTGGTGCGAGGTATACTTTTTGCCGCCTATTTTTTTCTTTTGCATCAGTTCTTTTTTACTGGGTGTAAGGTTTAACGCTTGTTGAACATTTGAACATAATTTGATTTTCTAGAATAACTTAACGCCTTTGGGCAAGAGATGAATAAGGCTAGGCAACACGTATTTATTCTTTTGCATCAAGTAATTCAAGTATTTGTTTAAAATTATTTGATTGTTTATAATGTTTACGCCTCAGGCTGCTTATCTTTCTTTGTTCCTCTTAGTAAGTGTCGTATGGGAGCAGACGCGTGGCATATACATGGATTCCTGAGAGGGGCCCTTGCCTTCGGATGAAAGGTTCTATGTGGATGCTTAGTCTACTGTTGCAGACATCTTCCTTAGTCTGCTGGTGCAGACATCTTCCTTAGTCTGCTGGTGCAGACATCTTCCTTAGTCTGCTGGTGCAGACATCTTCCTTAGTCTGCTGTTGAAGACATCTTCCTTAGTTTGCTGTTGCAGACATCTACCTTAGTCTGCTGTTGCAGACATCTTCCTTGGTCTGCTCTCTAATTAAGAGCGAGTAGTTCAAAGTATTAAAATATAAATGAAAATTTCTAAACACAAATGAATAATCCTATACATAACCTTTTCGTCAAAAAAATGAATAAAATAATCAAATGATTTGATTATTATTATTTAGTAACCAATAATTTAATGATTGTAGACTGTAAACAATTTTTCATACATCCGAGGAGTTGAGGTTCGTAACTCCAACAACCAGACACTTTCAATAGCATGTCTCTCTTGTGAACGTAGCAAAAGCTTATGGTGAAGTGAAGACGTTTGTAAGCTAAATCCATGCACCAATTGCAGACAAGAGCTCATTCGCTATGTGAACTTGCGCTAATTTTAATAGTACGGCTCCCTTGTAAGCGTAGCAAGAGCTTATGGTAAAGTGAAGACGTTTGTAAGCTAAACCCATGCACCAATAGCAGACAAGTGCTCATTCGCTATGTGAACTTGCGCTAGTTTCGATAGTACGGCTCTCTTGTAAGCGTAGCAAGAGCTTATGGTGAATTGAAGGAGTTTGTGCCGATGTTGACCTCACTTTAACAAGCCACTTGACTCTATTAGCAACCGCCCTCAATATGACGGGGGAAGTTTCGTGGCTGCCTCTGTGAGTAACCGCGATGATGTTACACTGAGTAGCTGCCGTGGAGTATATATAGACTTGGAGCCGGAGCAAGACTCCATTACGATGGAGTAGCTGCTGTGGCGTAGAGGAGTGGAGTGTCCGAGCAAGACTCCATTACGATGGAGTAGCTGGTGTGGAGTACAGGAGTGGCGTGTCGGAGCAAGACTCCATTACGATAACGATATGCATCATGTACATGGACGAGTAATATGATGATGTGTGTAATTGTATATACGAGTATAATGAGTATGTTGTATACGCCGTAGGTATATAGCTGCTCTGGCATGTGTGGCAGAACATGGGTAGCAGGCGCCGCAGTTGATATTTATAAACGTGCATGCGTGTTTAAAAAGTATGTTAATATGTTATCCGAAAATGCGAATTTAAATAATCAAAGCTTGTGTGTTGTAAGTATGGCGCAACAATACGTAGGGGTATAATTTTTTAGTTTGAACAATTAGACATTGCAAAACTGATAGGAAATAATTGAACCAAATCTTTAAAATTAATTTTTTACGGGTTTTTTAAAATATTCTTTAAGAGATATGTTAAACAAAAAATGTTCTATAGATTTTGAAGAAAGTCTGCTGGGCGTTCTTCAGGGTAAGTATAGACTATTTCAAATGTTTTTTTCTTTTATTTTCAATTTCAAACATCGGGCACGTGCACGTATGTTTTTTTACGGGCACTTTATTAGTAGTTATACTCAAAATTTAAGATCGAATAAGTTAGGATTTTCATATTGTGTTAAAACTGCACAAAAAATGTTACGTACCTTTTTTATCTATTCTTAGAACAACTAAAATTATAAATGTATTCAGAACATTATAGTTCCAAGGATGCACTCATGTATACCCATCATATGGTAATTACATATCCGTCTTGTATAATGATGAAGGAAAATGTCCTACCAGCATAGCTCACTTCTTTGTAAACGCAGCATGATTCTGCCGTCACTTGTATTGAGCACTCAGTAAAATTAACGAATCCTATTGTTCAAATAGTGACCCATTTTATTACCCCCACCCATCGCGAGCATAAAGTGCGGACGTAGCTCCGAGAAGCTCTTTTATCAGGCAAAACTGAGTAGGTTGGACCCAAAGGTGCATCTTTGTTTGGACAAAGACTAACTAATTCTTCAGAGTGCAAGAGTGTGATGAATTACTGAGTTCTATTGTTCAAATAGTGACCCATTTTATTACCCCCAGCGCGAGCATAGAGTGCGGAGGTCAGGCTCTATGCTCTTTTATCAGGCAAAACTGAGTAGGTTGGACCCAAAGGTGCATCTTTGTTTGGACAAAGAGTAACTAATTTTTCAGAGTGCGAGAGTGTGATGCCATTGCATGAACGTCATCACCGACCACAGCTGTGGTGCTCGCACACCTGTTCTCATGTGGCTCCTGATGCAGCGTACACTCAGAGAAACGTATGGGTCGTGTTGTCCAAATAGTGACACACTTTTTACAGTATTAATGCACATCGTGTTGTCCAAATAGTGACACACTTTTTACAGTATTAATACGCACATCGTGTTGTCCAAATAGTGACACATTTTTTACAGTATTAATACGCACATCGTGTTGTCCAAATAGTGACACATTTTTTACAGTATTAATACGCACATCGTGTTGTCCAAATAGTGACACATTTTTTACAGTATTAATACGCACATCGTGTTGTCCAAATAGTGACACATTTTTTACAGTATTAATACACACATCGTGTTGTCTAAATAGTGACACACTTTTTACAGTATTAATACGCACATTTTCCATATAAAACAGGGTCAGGATGGCAGGCCTGCACATGGCAAGAAATAATTCAATATTTGGACAAAGCCTCGCAATTTTTCTGCGTAT